CTGGTACCTTTACTACTCAAGCAGGAGTGAAGGCGACTGAGTAACTCCAAAGTTAACTCATAGTCACTCTCTCACACTTAGTATGGAGCCTAAAAGGTATGAGTCGTCCGCCTGTTTTTAGCAAACAGGGGCTCTCAACCACTACTCCTGCTAGGTTAACAACCTATGAGTTAAAAGCCAACGAACATTGGCGAATAAAGGGGAACAATCGGTACCAACCGCTTGATACCTCTACTACTCAGTTACTTGGCGACTAGGTAACAATCATGTTTACTTGGTCAAACCACTTTCCTACTTGGTTAATTTTACAAATGACAGGACCGACTGCCTAAAGGGGATCCAGTCTTTAAAATGGTTCGAATACCGATTGGATAAATGGCCAACTGATCGTCTAGCTTGGAAACAGACAACCAGTCGTCCAGGGGCATAGGCGGCGTGACTAACTATCCGTACCTGTCTGCAACTATCGGCCATGTAAAACAGTCGGTATAGTGTACAATTGGATATCAGAATATTCAATACTTGAACAAATTTGAAGCAAAACAAAAATATTCATTAAAAAGAAGCCGGTCACTAAAGACCGGCAAAATATTCAAAGCCCCGGCCCCCTGGCCGGGTAAATACAAAACAAACGGCACGCAGGCCGTGGAAAGAAGACATAAAGCTTAAGAAGGGGGCAGATCTTCAATATTAGCAGCTGCCGCCTGGTCAGCACTCTTCTTGCTGGACTCGGCTTCAGCTGCATCCTTCTTTGATGCATTACCCCCAAGCGGCACAAGCGCCACTACCGGCTGCTCCTCCTCCAACGCCTCCTCCAACGCCTCTTTCTCAGCAGCCGCCAGGATCTCTTGATTATATCTATCAGAACACTGGCGGTACGTTTTTTCCCATGAGGCAAAGTCGGCATTGGGGAAGAGGCAGCCCCAAGTCATGCGCTGGATTTGAGCAGAGTCTTCCATCATCTCCCGGACCAGCTCTTTCTTTTCTTGCTCGGCCTTTTCCGAGAGCTCCTGAGTAAGACTCTTCTCCTGGGTCACCAGGCATACCTTTACGCTCGCCAAGGATTTCTTCAAGGTTTCGTATGAGGACATCTTTTGGCGAAGAGGTTTCAGCTCGGCCTTGAGGTTGTTGATGGTCGCCTCCAGCTCGCTATTCCTCTTCTGGGCCGCCTCTAACTGAGCCCGGATAGCGGCGGTAGCCTGCGCCTGATAATAAAGAATATCAATGGTCAGAACTTCATTTTGGGCAATTTGAAACATTGCCTTATCACAGTCAGAGGCGGCCATAGCTTTTGCAGCCTTTACCTCTTTGTTCTTCCGGTCAAGCGGCTTGCGAAGGCCGTTCACTCGGAGCAGGGCCTAAGTAAAAAGGGGAACAGGCGTCAGTTTCCAAACAAAAAGAAAACAGGCGTCCTGGAAATCAAATACTCAAAAATATGCTAAGTATACCTCAGCAAGGACCCCTGCAATCCCGTCTAGGTCAAGGGTGTCGACACCCCTGACCGCCTCCCTTTCAGCTGGGGGAACGGCCTTGATCATAGACTTGGCCACCTCGACCAAGTCAGGCTCCTGAGGGCCGGCTGCATCAAGCATAAACAAACGGATTAGACCTAGTAAAGAAGGGAGCAAGTCTAAAATTTACAAGGACAACTTCATACTTCTAGGCGGCCCAACTGGAGTTTTAGAAGAAGTGGCCGGCTGTTTCTCAGCCGCCGCATGTTTCCTGGCAGAACCAGGAGAGCTCGCAACAGTCGTCCTCCGGGCCTTGGGGTCCGGCTGTTGGGAAAAAGAAGCTCTTGGAGCGCCCGTCTAAAAAAGAAGAAGTCAGTATATGCATAAACACAACTCCAAAAAGAGGGTGAAAGGTTCGAAGCCCACCAAGGGTGCCCCCTTGTTGGGGGAGTTGGTTGAAAACTGTTGCATGATGGAGGCCCGCAACATGGCCGCCGCAGTCTTGGAGGCGGTAATTTTGCTCATGGCGTCCGCTGCAAAAACAAATAGCAAAGTTAATAAAAGTCATAACAAGAAATGCATGGAACAACAGAGTATTCGACAGGCCGGCTACCTCTTGAGCACCGACTGCTGAGGCCACAGGCGGCCAAAAAGTACTCGTCGTAGAGCCATTTGAAGCTCGGGACGCAGTGCAGGGGTACTTGCTCTCGTACCCCTGAAGTAGAGTTCACCTTCGACTCTACTTTGAAGAGTCCTTTATCTAGGATCTCTTTCTTAGCCTTGGGGGGGAACAGGCGGCATACTGCGGCCGCCTGCAAGAAGGGGCGGATTCCTGTTCCACCTGTTGAAGCGCTTGTTCAGCTCTGTGTCTGAACTCTCAATGATGAGGAAGGTGCTCCGCCAGTCCTTCCATTTGTTTGCTTTACCTCTCGTCATGAGGTAGCCCCTGTGGCTCGTCAATTGATACCAGCCGGTACCGCCTGCCTTAGGGGTCCGGCTGAGGTAGTTCATGTGGGAGAAAGCCTCGAAGTCGGCTCCATCCCGTGCAGTTCGCACCCGGCCACATAGCCGAGTACGTTGACCCAGGATTTCGGGGCTAACTGCCATAACCCCAACTCATACCCATCCAAGATCCGCTGAACAGCCGGATGTAGTGGGAAGCGCAGCCCAGCCTTGATGGCCGCCTCGTAGCAGCCAAAGCAGGCGCTATCATAACTGGTACCAGCCGGCCAGACGACTGTGTCTTCTGGATCCGGCACAAACACTAAAAAGCCGGGGCCCATTGTGTAGTTTGCGATAAAGCTCTCCACTTTCTCTTGCATGGCCGTGATCCGGCCCCGAGGTACCGTGCAGTAGTAGGGGGTATTTTGCTCTCGGTGAGAGGCAGATGGCTCCGCCCAATCGTCCCCCTTCTCCACTGCGTGAGAAAGCCTCGCCTCTTGCAGGCGACTGTTTTTCTCTTCTGTGTCCAGAGAAGCATGGCCAGAAGAGCTAGACTCAGAATCGTCCTCTGACGAGTCCGAAGAGGACGACTCCTCCCCTCTCCCGGAGGGGCCCGTCTCCTCTCCTTTAAAAGGAGCAGGAGAGAATGAAGAATTGTCAACTGTAAAATGAGAAGGGGTCACTTTGACTCCTCCCTCAGAACTGCCGGCTTTCAAGCCGCTTTGTTTCACTTCCCCATCTGGCGCCTGGTCAGATGTTTCACTAATCGGCACCCTGTGGGAGGAGCCGTCTGAGTTTGAGATCCTGGCAGTCTTTTTTGTTCTGGTCATCATGCTCTGCATAGACACAGATACAGTCGGACTTTGTATAAAGGGCAAAGATGGGTCCGGAAAAGGGCAGGCGGCACTCCTAGTCCTAGATTCAGCCGTCCCCGGTGACCGGCTGATCACTAACCTAGGTCGTGTCGTGTGCTTCCGTGGTGCCATTTCAAAAAAGAATAAAATAAAGAGAAAATTAAGAGTAAGAGAACCGACGGTTACCTGAACGAGTGACGATTGATGAAATTCTGAAAATCCTTTGCAGTCGGCTTGTCAGAGCAGGCGGTAGGCAGAAAGGGTCCAAAATGTCAGAGCAAGTTCAGGGGTCCGAATGTTCTCTCACAAAGTTCTCAAGTGTGAAAATGACTGAAGTCAACACTCCCTTATATAGGCGAAGTGAGAAGGCGAAGGGTCACTTCCAGAATTCATAATTTGGGCGGGAGAATCTCTCGGCCTTTCGCCGAGTGACACCTGTAGCAGGCCGTCGCCTGTTACAGTGCGACACCTATCACAGGCAACACGTGACCAGTCACGTGCCACCTGTGAGGGGCAAATGATTAGGGGATTTTGCTCCCACCAATCGGAATGCGCCACGTGGGCCAATCAGGTCCTGCCAAGTGTCCCTCAGTTGGAACTGTCAGGGCTTGCCACGTGGCATCCGCTTATTCGTCCACCTTGGACCTATTATGTCATGACACGTGGCATACTCCATGCCTAATGGAGAAACCGGCCACCCAGGCCCAACTTCCGAGGGAAGCCCAATCAGCCCTAGGTTAACCTAAACCTAGGATTGACACGTTTCCCGAGGTTATAAATACCTCCCTTAATCCTCATTAAGGGAGATTACATGAATTACATGCTAAAAACGCAGATTACACACATTAAACACTCTCACCTAGAGAGACCCAATCACTTTAATTTCCGCATTAATTACTCCTTAATCAAGTACTAACTTGACCGTTGGAGGCGGAGCTCCCACCACAAGGAGTCTCCGTTGTTTTGCAGGTACAGGCGTCCGGTTCCAGTCTCGGAATTGTAACTCTCCCGCAGGACATCAGAAAACCCCGAAACATATACTATGTATATATCTATAGTAATACATAAAGTGAAAGGGTTTTTAGGTGATAAATTTTTCTTTCCCAAAATACCCCTCTCATCTTTTATTCTATTTATCAAAAAAAAAAAAAAAAAAAAAAAAAAAAAAAAAAAAAAAACCCTACTATCCTATATTAACAAAAAAAAAATTAAAAGCTACCTAATTTTTATATACTACCTCCGTTAACATATACTTGCAACTTAAGAATATTTTATGTCTCTCAAATAATACCCAAACTTGCAAGTAAATGTTAACAAAGGTAGTATTTTTTTTTAAAAATAAGGATATAGTACTTTTTTTTTTTAGGGAATTCATATCATTCTATTACCTCCATGATTTCATCAAATTTTAATCTAACTACGATTCGTATAGATTTTTTGTAATGCACACACGCAATAAGTGCGTGTGTCTCATAACTTGTATTTTTTTAAAACCAAGAGCAACTCCAATGGTTGTAACTAGGGACTTGCTTGCAATTTCAACAATTTCCTAGTTACTAGCTTGACCATTGGAGCTAGAAAACTCAATTAACTTGGCTAAGCAAATTAGCTTGAAGCTAATTTGCTTGGGAATTAAACTTGCCAAAATAAAATATTCATTGCACCAATTAAGCTCTTTCCATGTATTTTCTATCCGACAATTACTACTAAGATAATAGCTATGCATTGGAGCAAAAAGTAGCTAAAATGATAATTAGCTTAAAAGCTTATGTTGCATGACAAGCTAATTGTCAAATTAGCTTGCCATTGGAGTTGCTCTTATATAGTACACACACGCAATTTTTTACTTTGTACGAATAATATGACTAGTTACAATTCAAAATATTTTGCCAAACTGAAACAAAACGGCTAGCTTCATGGTTTATCCTATTACAAGTCTTATAAGTTGCAAGCAAAGCCATAATTTTAAAGGCCAAAAATAAATTAATTTAAACACAAAAGAAAATTATCTCACACTACCAATCCTAGGGACATGGATTTGGAAATCTTGAATGAACCTTGTTTATCTCAGCAACTACTTCAGCTGATAACTCAATGCGACATGCATTAACAATCTCCTGAAGCTGCCATATCTTGGTTGCTCCAAAAACAGCACTTGCTACAAGGGGGTGCTTCAAAACAAAAGCTGCTAAACAGAAGTCATTAAAGAGATTAGTACTTTGTAATTGCCAAAAGTAGATAAATCTTAGAACTAAGAATTAAAGTGATGGACTGACTAAAGTTAGTGCATGCAATACAAATGCAGACAAATCATATTTTACTAGCACCATAAAGGAAAGGAGAGGGTGAAAATGGGAGATATGGCATACCAATTGCCAAAGAAACTGGATGAAGGCCGTACTTTTCTGCTATTAGAAGGTACTCCTGCAGTAAGAGTGAATACTTTAACAACTCTAGTTGTCGGCACAAAAATGCCAAGGCTCGATAGCATATCCAAAAAAATATTAAACATTTGACTGCTTTGTTATCAGCGGAGAGGTAGCTATAGGTTCCAAGAACCACGTCATAATTCACGATCAAACTAGTTGTTGTTGCATGTTGAGTTTAGAAATTTGTGAACAACATAGAGCAAGAACAGGTTATCAACAGGAGCAAGTCCTTCTGAAGCTGGAAAAAAAATATGTACCCTAGTGGCTAATTCTGTAGCAGCATTGGACAGGCTATATCTGGATTCCCCTTCTGAATATCTTCCTGCTTGCCAAAAGTGCAAAAGACATTATACATATTACAGCGTATAAATCAAGTCGTGTGATGTCACATTTTTTAAATTAGAATATGAAAACCTCTGAAAAGATTCAATCGAGCATCTGCAGGACCTCTATCATCTCTAAAGTATTTACCAGACAGTATGCCCATAGCCAAAGGACTGTAAGCTAACAAGAAGATGCTGCAAAGGGTTGAACAGGAATATCACGGTGAATTTCAAGAGAAGCTTTTAAACAGAAAGAACGAAATGCCACATAGAAGTAGCAAGTTAGCAACCTAATTATATATAACTGACAGATAGAGCTTAGTAACAAAAGTTGAGAGAAATTTCGCAGCAAGACAACATGAAGCAAAGCTTACAAAAGATATTCTAAAAGCAAAAAAGGGGTTTGATGAGTAATGCTTGCTTAAATTTTATGACATTACAGAAAAATAGGCAAACACCTTAATGCTAATAGTAACGATTAGTATTTTAGGACATTATTTCTTACCACAAAATAAATCTAACAAAAAGACTTGCGTGGACCTGGTCCACAATAATATTATTGTGAACCCGAGGTCTATACACACGCAACTGACTTTATATTAAACATAGTGACCATTATTTTTAACATAGTAAACTTATTTTTAATCTAGTAACCTTTATTAAAACTACTACAACGTTTAATAATATTGTGAACTTGAAATACGACGCTATTACCCTAATTTTAACATAGTGGCCTTTATTATTCATATTGATCAGTACATAAAATATTTCATTACAAAAATAACCACTTAGGCCTATATATTACCAAAATGATTTTTATTTCAATATAGTGACCTTTTTTTTAATTATAGTGACCCTTTTTTTTATAAATAAAACAATCATACTTTCTCTAATGTTAGTGGTCCACAATAAATTAGTGTGAACCAGGTCCATTTAAGAATTTGTAATAAATCTATCAAAATTTTATCAGAATATTATCCATCTCAGCATTAACCAACAAGAATCTGTCTACTTCACATGCATAGAATTGATTCAAGATAGTATACCTCTCATGATGACAGCACTCAGCCAATGCAGAATCAAAAGTGCGGCAGAGCAAGCTGTATGAGTTCTGGTAGACCAAGATTCACTGTTAGGACACATCTTCCACAGTTTTAGAGCAGCAGGATAGATTCAAAATATCAACTTTCTTTAGTTTCCTACTTTTTTAGTTTTGTGTATTACAGAGTTTATACTTTATAGAAGTAGGAGGAAGGGGAGGGAGGACCACTTGGATATCTTAATTCAAAAAAAGAGCAGATAGATTTTGCAGGACATAAGCCTTGTTTGGCAAATGGCTGTTGGCGGTTGGCTGTTGGCGGTTGGCTATTGGCTGGTTCACTTGGCTTGTTTGATGACTTTGAAATTGGACGTTTATAAAAGTGTTTGGTAAATTAATTGTTGGTTGTTGGCTATTTATTAGATAATTTATGGGCCAACAAGCCAAAAGCCAACAAAAAAAGCTACTCAAAGCAGCCTTTTCATTTTGGCTTAAAAGCCAACTTTTTCGCTGACTAAAAAGCCAATCACCAAACACATTTTTTGACTGTTTCACCACATAAAAAAGCCAAAAGCTAACCAAAAAGCCATTTATCAAACATGGCCATAGTCAAACAAGGATCAAGCCTTCTTTGAGGTAGTAGAATGGAACCTGCAAGGAGACAATTTTTGGACAGCCATCAATTCTATCCGCGACTTGAACGAACTTCATCACACCATATGGTGTTTCATTACTAAGTCCAATATGTCTGACCTACAACAATTAAATACCACTAACATGTAAGAAGAGCATGCAATGCTGTTAGAAGTTTGACAAATAGCTTAACCTACAATCTCTACCTTGCCAGCATCAACAGCTCTGGTAAGTGCAAGAAGCTGCTCCTCAATAGGGGTTGAAAAGTATTGTCTACTTGAATCATACTCCGTTTCTCCAAACATGGGGACATACCTATAAAAGGACAACACAAATGTAACTATAACATGCAACCATAATTTGTTTATTATGAAAGCGAATTTCTGCAAGACACCTAGAAAGAGATTATGCCACCAGTTATAACTGAGAGGACAAAGAAGACAACATACAAACCGATCAGGCCAGTGAATTTGATACAGATCAATGTAATCAGTTTGTAGACGCAATAGGCTGTGCAATGTTAATAAGAACATTTGTTAGAGCAGATTAGATAAAACAAAAGAAGAAATGAAACACAAGCAGTCACAAACGACCACTGTGGTAGGAAAAAACAAGAAAGGGAAAGTACGAGAGCATGGAAACAAACCTGTTATCTATGGCTTCTGTGATGTTCTTTGCATCTAAACACTCTGGCCCACCTCGAATCCATGTCATTTGCCCAGACGGCCCAGCAACCTGCAGATTAAACAGAGAAGGGGAAAAAAAAACAAAACAAAATCCATTTGAAAATATGCGACAAAGCTACAAACAGGGTGAAAAGAAAATTCTATCACATTAATAAAATCTCTCTAGGCGGAAGGTGGATTTAAAGAATCAATAAATTTGTCAACAATTAAAGTTTTTGGAAGGTGTGTCATGATGGAGTTCTAATGAAGGATTATACAAGTTAAGAAATGCGAAGGAAAACTTTGAAGAACAGTATCTATCAGAAGGCTTAGTCTTTTTTTATAAGAGTTTTGCTTTGAAAAAAAATGACCACCCTTATAAAGACCACTAATAAAGGTTGGTTGTTACAAAGGATTTAGATAAAGACAAACCTTCTCATGTCAATAAAGGTCCTAAGTCAATAACATGCGATTCCTTGATTTAAACAAAAAAAAAGTCCGGCAATTAAATTCTTGAAATATATTTACTACTAAAGGGCATTATTAAGAATATTAGCGCTATAAGCAAAGCTTGTCTTTGGCATGGCAGTGTTGACATTTTTGGAGCAGGTTATCTTAATTAGGAGACCCTCTGTTACCCCAAAAAAGTTAAAGGGCTAAGTTTCAGGCATGAATGGAGCAATGAAGCTGCAGTATGAAAGATTTGAATGTAGCCAGGAAACAGGATTCACTTCAGGTTAGATGTGTCCTTTGTGTGTACAGCAAGGACCAAGTTGGGTGGGGGTATGAGCCTCCAGCAGAAAATGCCAGCTGGGCAAGAAAATGTGTATGCAGGATCAAGAATGTGTTCAAAGATGTGAATCATATGAATAAATAGGCCTGATAACTGGAAATATTCAATGAAAAAAACGCTTCAGAAATTTCTTGGTTTACACACGACTTGGACCTATCATGTACAGGAAGGCTCCAAACAAAAGGGAAACTCTGTAAGTTTGGAATTTGAGCAGACGATTGATGTTTGATTTGTAATGACTGTTCTGGGACACAAGCATCTACTCTGTGATTGTATTTTCAGTACCAGGTGCATAACTAGCGTGTTATCATGACTGCAACTAAGAATAACCAAAGATCCATCGCTCACCTTCTTATCTGTCTGAGAAGATCATATAAGTGGTCTACATTTAAGGGGAAACTAGCTGCTGCAGCATTAGTTGCTATAGCTTATACTATACAGCAAGTCAGAAAAAAGTACTAACGGGATTCAAAAGATTTTGAACATTAGCACAGCAAAATGTATAAAAGCATAATTGTACAAAAACAACGAATTTTAGAGAGTCAAGTCAGTAATGTGGACAGAGCTTGGCTGGGCAGCAAGTAGATGTAGTATAAGTACATGTTTTGGCCCATGAGCTGGAAACACCAGAGAATTTCCTAGAAAGTGCGTCCCTCGCTCCTCCACTACACGAATGATAGGTTGTAATTGAATTTTATGTGGTAATTACGGGGCAAAATATTTACTCACCAAAAGAACAAAAATCTACATTTTAGCATCTCTCTAAGCTTAATTAATGGAGGCAGAAAAAGTGATATTGGTAGCTTCAAAATAACTGGAGGAAGCAACATTAATGGTTTAAACAGTAGCTCTTAGCTAGTCTTTACAAAATAAAAAATTAGCATAGTGAAGGGGATAATGTGTGAATCATATAACCTAATAAGTAAATTTCACAGCTCCCTTGAGAAACTGCAAACATCATCTTTCATACAGTGATTGATGCAGCGGAGAAAATAAGAAGTCTTTCGATTTCAACCATTGCAGCAAGAAACGAAAAAGGCAATAGACTTCTAGCTAATGTTTCTTTGCTATCAACCAAAGGATGCTTTACATTGACCTTATCTTTGAGCTAACCTAGCCTTACTTTCCTAATCATGCTACTCCCTTCTTCCCAAAACAAGGCGCGTTTCTATCCAAGCGTGTCCCAAAATTAATTCGTAATTCAATTTGTGCAATCAAGCACAAAATCAGACAATTAAGCAAAGACAATCACAATTATGCACAGACAATTCACAGAAATGCCAGAAGCTTAGTATATTAACCTTAGTAGCCAAAACAATACGGTCCCTCGGAATGTTCCGGTCTTTAATCCATCGTCCCAAATACTCTTCACTCCTTCCCTGGGTCTCAGCAAGCTGCGGCACCGGATACCTAATCAACAGGCATTCACACACACCAAATTCAAACACAAACAAAATCACACAGAAAATCTCAAAAACATATACATAAATAACTATAACAATTAGCAATTGAACTATAATTTTCATAAAAATGATGAAAATTCAGAAGATAATTACATTTCAGCAGAATCGAAGAAATTGATGCCGGAATCAAAGGCAGTATCAAGAAGACGAAAGGATTGTTGAAGCGAGTTTTGTTCGCCGAAAGTCATGGTTCCGAAGCATAGCTTAGAGACGGTGAGATTTGGAGCTAGATTGAAGAGAGGAACTGCCATTGTTGGGGGAAAATTGGAAACCCTAATTGAAGCAGGTAGCTATGGCGGGAAGTTTAATTGGGAATTTGCATTATCCGTTTTGGTGGTTAGGGGAGAAACTGGAAAAAGTGAAAGTGGTTTTACCAAAAAAAAAAAAACCCAAAAAAGTAAAATGGAGATGCAGGGTATCGAACCCTGTACCTCCCGCATGCAAAGCGGGCGCTCTACCATTTGAGCTACATCCCCAATTGTGAAGTTTAGTACGTATATGCTGAACATTAACCAATTCCCTCTGAAAAAGGTTATACTACGATTTTTTTTTTTTTTTTGGGTTTTTCTCATTTATACCCATGTGGTTTGACGTTTTCTCATATGTACCCAAGTTTTTTGATATTTATCATTCGTACCCAATCGCACATAACCAATTTCATTAACTAAAATGATAATCCTCTATTAAGTGAGCAATTAAAAATAAAATATAACTAACTATGGTTAATTACCATGTTTAATATAATAAAAAACAAAATTAATTAATAAAAAAAACAAAATAAAAAAAAAGTTGCAACTGGTGGGGGTGGGGATCGGGTTGGGCGGGGAGGGCTGGGGATTGGTCGCCAGGGGACGGGGAGTGGCCGAGAAGGGGCGGGGGTTGTCGGATTTGGGTGGAAGGGGGATAATTTGGGTCGGGTTTAGGGTGGGGAGGGGTGGAAACGGGTCGGGGAGGGTCAGGGGTTGTCGGTTTTGTGGTCGGCGGACGGTGGGGAGGTTCGGGGAGGGGTCAGGTTGGTTTGGGAAGGTCGAATAGGGTGTTTGATGTGGTGGTTAGGGTTAGGGTTTAGATTCGTAGGGGGTTTTGGTGGTTGGGGAGGTTGCGGCAAGGGGTGGGGGGAGATCGTCATGGTGGGGCTGGTTGGGGGTGGGGGGAAGTTACCGGGGAGTGGGGGAGGTGGCTGGGGTGGTGCGGGGGCTGGGGAAGGTGGCTGGTGGTGGGGTTTTTTTTCTGTTTTATTTTTTATATCCTTTAAAACAATGGTTTTATTTTTAATTGATCACTTAATAGAGGATTATCATTTTAGTTAATGAAATTGGTTATGTGTGATAAATTGTTATAACCTCATGGGTACAAATGAGAAATTTCAAAAAACTTGGGTACAGGTGAGAAAACGTAAAACCACATGGGTACAAATGAGAAAAACCCTTTTTTTTCCGAATTTCTCATTGGTAGTCATGTAAAATTGCACATTCTCAATGGAAACAAATTTGGGAGAGGTCACCGGCGCGAGGTGGAGGTGGGGAGCAGGGTGGTTGATTTTTTTTTTTAGGTTAATTTATTGTTTAATTAAGCTAATTAGTTGCTAATTGTAAAATTAATGTTATATTTGAGAAACTTGTAAAAATTAATTATTATTATGATATATTAAAAGGCGTTTCTGAGCAAAGCCTACATGCCACGTGGCGCCTATGTGTTGTACAAGATTTGAACTCACAATCTTAAGGTTAAAAACTATGGTGTCAACCACTAAACTATTACCATATTACTCCGTACATGTTATTCTGCCAAAATTTAATATAAATAAAGATTTCAATATGGAATTAATGCAGTAACTCGGGGCATCACTCGAGTCTAATCACTAGTTTTTTCCTTAATAACCGCGTAAAATCATCAAACGTAACTTACAGAGGGAATAAATAAATTAGGAACAAAAGAAATTCAAGTACCTTTAATCTACAAAAAAAAATGAAAAAAAAATATACTCCCTCTGTCCCATAATATAGTTCTTGTTTGTGTTTTTTCACGGTATTAAAGAAATAGGAAGAGAAACTAGATAAAGTACATTAATAAAAGTGAAAAGTATAATCATAGATAAAAGTTAGAGCGAGAAAGTAGAAAAAAGTACAATACATGTGCAAAATTCAAGGATAAATTCGAAAGTCCAATGATCAAAGTTAAAAAAGTGATAGTATAATAGTCTTTACATATTGTCCAAAAATAGAAACAGGAAAAATATTTTGGATCTCCAAAATAAGAAAATAAGAAATATATTATGGGACGGAGGGAGTAATACCTCGATTTTTTAAATTTCGACATTTTTACTATATGCGATAATAAGAAAAATAACTTTGACCACATTTCATGTATACATTAGAAATCAATTAGCATGTGGAATTCCCCTTATTATAAATTTTCCATGTAAACTTTATTCATGGTCAAATATGTTTATTGGAGATCAAGCAATGCAAATACAAAGTGAGTCGAACTTTCAGGAATGGAACGAGTATATAAGTTCTGAATGTTCAAAAAATTCTATGCTTGTAATAACTTTTTTATTGAATGAACACTCTAGAGATAAAAAGCAATTGCACTCATTTAATACAATAGTAATAAAACAAAGGAAAGATGGTATGACAATAACGAGGCGTTTGATTTGAGGGATAAGGATAAGACTCTTAAGAGTCGTAAGAGGAATAACAAGGGATGGGGACTTAGTAATGGGGATTTTATAAAAGCTGTATATGTCCTTTGTTTGGCATGGAAATGAGACTTCATAAACCTTTCCTTGTCACATGTTTGGTATGGTAGACTAAAATATGGGGATAAATAATATTATTATATTTTCACGAGAAAAGACAAATTTCCCAACATACAATACATGATGTGTATCTTAATGGGTCAAAATTTTCATTTACAGTGAATAACTTATGTTATTTTTGTAATTATGTTTAAAAATATATTTGTTTTTTCGAGCTATAACAGAAGGCTTTAATGGAGGAGGGAGCACTAAAGAACTTCAATGTAGAAATGGAAGAGTTTATAATAGGGTCGTCTTAAGTAAATTAGAGGCCCAATTCTAATTTTAAAAATTGAGCCCTAATAATAAAATTTTGATTTCAAAATCATATTCCAATAATCTTCTAATCCCTGTAAAGTACCAAAAACCCAAATTACATTGCATAATAGAGTCACAAGGTAATTTTGACTCTAAAACTCCAAACTAATACTATAAGTGAAACTAATTAATGAAAAAAGGACCAAATTAAAAACAGATTTAACTTTGATTAGTCTAATATGACTAGACTTTTTTTTTGAGGAAAATATGTCCCATATTTTAGTACTCCTTTTAATATGTAGCTAAAAAAATAAATAAATAAACAACAATTACCTAGCTAATAGTCCACTGCCCCACTACCAAAAATTGAAGAAAAGAAGTCAAACATAAACTCAATGAGAAGAAACTAATTGTGTTCTTCCATGGATTATGGTTTAAGGATCAAGAATTGAATATTATCAATATTCCATTGTTGATTTATACCAAAAATGTTGAGAGGAGAAGATGAGTGTTTGATGGATTTTTTATTTTATTATTTTTTTAATAGCAAAAATATTTCATTAATTAAAAGTCATACGACATCTAAAATAGAGATTCGACGTTAACAGATACATAAGATATTGAATCAAATAGGATTTTCCTTCATAAAAACTACGACCGTCGAGTAGATCTTGCACTTTGGAGCATCTCCCGCTTATATCGCTGAAAATTACAGCCTTGTTGGAGAGACAATCTAACAATCCTTTGTAGCCGTGAGGATGTTTTCCTTTTGATTCATCTGTTCGTATTTGAAAACTTGAAAACTTTTTCACCAATGAAATAATTTCACGACAATCCATTAGATCTACTACCATGGATTCAAAACTAAGAAATTTCTCCCTCGAAAAGAGGAGATAAACCTTGTCTTTCGAAGGAGGTCGAAAAACCCTTGTTTTTCAAAGGAGATCGGAAACCCTTTCTTTCGAGGTAGAAAAATTCCTCCCAAAAGGTGGAAGCATTATTATAAACCTAAAGAAACAAGGATTGGGGCTTTCCACCGATTAAAATCGATGGAAGCCCCTTCAAAATTTAACAATAGAGGCTAGGGTTTTGGAGAGAGAAAGGAGGAAAAAGACGAGCTGATAAACCTAACGGTGGATTTTTTATTTTAAACAACCCATTAATGATAAATTGATGAGTTGAATATGGAAGGTTTAACATTAATGCCTTTGGGAATTGCAATATTAATGGGGAGAGAGATTAGGGAATAGGTCTTGATATAGTGCTGATATAATGGAGGTGAGAAAGTTTAGAGTAATCAGCGTTTTTTCAATAATAATAATAATAATAATAATAATAATAATAATAATAATAATTGGGCTCATAATTCGAGCCCTAACAAATTGGACACCCTGTGCTTAGGGTCTGTTTGCACAGCCTCTTAGCCGACCTTGGCTTATATGGAGGACGACCTAATCCTTCCCACAAGGATTAACATTGTCCTTTTTTCTCCCTTAGTTTTACATATAAAATTAGGGTTTTCGTTTAATCTTATGCTAGTGATAGTGGTTGTTCACGACTCTCTTCAATGGAGGAGGAGGAAGCATGAAGAAGATGAGGGCGAAAAAGATGGGGCATGACGAAGAATGAATCATAAAGAAAATAATATAGATTTTTTTTAAAAGATTCATATAATTCCTTTTTTTTAGAAACACTCATGTATCTCGTGTTGAGCTCTTGGAGCTAAGATGAGGGTCGGGCTTAAGTATAAAAAGAAAAACTGTACTTCCTCATATTAAATATTTTCATTATTACAAATAAATAAAAATATAACAACATATTAGTTACGCTACAAATGTTTTTCTCTACTCTACTAACAAAACTCTCAAATATTGGTTTTCTAAGAATTTTTTATTTTATACCTCACTTCCAAGTTTTTTTTTATTGTATTAGATAATAATATATAGAAGATAATTACTTGGGTATATTGTTATTTTTTTGGAAAAATTCAAGTTTCTATTCATGAGAAACTTTATTTATCTCAGAGCAAAAATGTATTTTCAAATTATAAAACAAGGGTCTTTTGGGTAATTCATGCCTATTTACTTTGTCAATGATGGATTGAAAATGGAAAAGCTCCAAAACAGCTTCCATGGAGGTTGGGCAACTTGTAGGGAATATTTCAAGCATTACCCCTAGCTTGAACCCCACTGTGATCATACATTAAAGTACAGTGGCGTCCAAAGGGAAAAAAGATAGAGCAAAAGAGTTGCCAACAAGTTTTAGGAACTTGTAAATCGTTCACGAGGTGAAGGTTACACCCCTTAACGATCCAGGAGATCGTCAACTCCAATAAGTCTGGAACCATGACTGGTAGTTCGGGGATGAAGGTACAAATCCAACCTAAAAGAGATTGAACCTGCCCTAATAATAAGCCTCTACTTTATTCTAATCGTATTCATGTGCGCTTTCTGACTAACATGCAATCAATAGGTTTAACCCTAAACCTGTTTATCTATGTTGGTTGAATATTAATGAACAAATAAATCTATTATCGGCGATCACTTGAATTATAATCAAATTAACC